TCTAATATATAAATGGAGTTAGGATATCGAACCCACAGGGTTTATAATTTAACTTTTACTAAGTACTATAATTGTGTAGCTTCTATTTTATCTAGACAAATAAAATTTTTGATCAATAGTGTCATCTAATTTAAGAGTAATCGTTGTGACTAATTCAAGTAATGCAATTTATATGAATAAATCAATATAAGACAGGCCTAGGGAATAATTTCACCTAACTATCAATTATGCTTCAATTATGTTTAATTATTCTAGTCAATTTTTTCATGTTTAAAAGCAAGAATCCTAATACATTTCTCTCCTCTGTCTAGTGCCGGCTAGAAATTAATCTTAGATTTCAATCTCAATATCTCTATTTTGAATTAAAATCAAGGATTTATTAAGTTTATGATTTTCTTATGGAGTAAGTTTCATAGATCCTATACTTTCTCTCGAAATACATAAAATCTACGTTGTGTCAATTCTACGATCGTGCCTAAATTCTCCTCTCTCGAGTGCCGGAATTGACTAGCATCTATTCATTCAGTTAGTGGCCAATTAATTGAAAGCATTAATTTCATGACACAATTAAACATATGTAGAAAATCAAATAGAAATAACTATAACAGAATCAAACCATAATCCCAAGTTTTGGCTACAATCACACACTAGAATATGAATTTAGTTCATAATATAATCCAAGAAAATACTAAAATTCATATAAGAAAACATAGGGAAGAGAATAGAAAAACTCAGTTGTAGATCTTCAATTTCTTCTCTTGTTTTTCTCTGCCTTGTTCTTGAATCTCTTGATGTTTTGCCCCTTTGAATTGTTAAATCTTGCTCCCTTGAATTATATTTTTGGTTGGTTTAATTCTTTGAGAAAATAGGTTTTTGATCTTATATTTATAGTATTTTTGGAGTCTTGGACGAATTAGGGTTGAGTTGAGCTAAGAAAAGAATAAAAAAAAAAAATAAATAAATAAATAAACTTTTCCCACACAGGTAGTACCTCGACGCCCAAGATGGCACACTGCTGATTTTCAGCATCGTGGGCATTGCAGCTCCAATCTGCGCCTACTTCGGGTAGAAAAGATAGTTTACATCTCCGTTAGTATTTTTATCACCCGATATCTGATTGAAACAATTCAAGATGCGATGGAAAGTTAACTGAAAGAGCTACAACTTTGCTTTAGTTATCGTTCACCAAATTGAACGTTTGCTATGTCATAAATGGGTCTCAATGTAAGACTAAAAATTCAGAACATAACTTTTTGGGTTGGAAATCGACGTACGATCATACTTTGGTTATATTTGATCCATTTGACATTTTTCTTCTTCCAGTTGACCCGTAACACTCTCGAATCTTCATTGTTAGGTTCGACACAATTTTTAAGTATATACACTTTAGTCCCCGAAATTTAGATCTCTTACAATTTCTCCAATTTTCTCCAAATTTATCAACTTTTGCTTATTTCTTTTAATTTCGTCAACCGATATCATATTATCAAAACACATAATAAAACGTTTTAAGACTTGTAGGAATAAGCTACTATCAAGCTCAATTGATGTCTAAAGTATGAGTGAAATATACTCATCAACAAACACATTTTACATCTACATTTCACAACATCGAACACAAGTCCCCACATCAAAACCCTAAACCCAAATTTATGAAGTTAACTATCTCCATCCCACAAATCCATCCGACATACCTAGGTACAAACCCATTTTATAAACACCCCACACGCAAATCCGAAGAGCTAGGTCTTCCACACATTTGGTCTTGTTGCTTGGAAGGTGTTGGTTTCAGCTTCCATTTTCCTCCTAACCTCGTAATAGATTAGGAATCAGCTCCATCAATCTCTCACACATTTCAAGGTTACACCACACAAAGAAGGTATATCTACACATATCTTGGCTTTGAGGACAAGTGAGAAATCTTCTTCTTGGGTTCAGGTTCGTCCATGAGGTCTTTATTTGCACTGGGGAGCCATATCAACATACATTCATCTCCATGTACATGCTAATTTTTTTCAACTGGTTGTGGGGAAGAAAAGGATATTAATGTGGTAAAAATGGAGGAAAACGAACAGCAAAATGCAATAATAGAAGGGAAAATGTGAAATGCCCAAATTGCCCTTCACTTATTTGGGGAAAATTATTAAAAAATTTCATTTCTAGGATCAACTAATGGTCTTGATGATCAAACACGCGAAAATCGTTATTTTAGACTGGATTTGAGATTTTTCTAAAGGTTTGGTACTTCATGTGGTACAAATGAAATGTTTAAATCAAAACTGCTAATAAATGAAAGATTTGATACCTTGACTGCAATTTTCCTCATTTTTAATGGATGAAGACTTTAAATGATCAAAGCTTAGCTTCAGAACTTACATGGCAAGCAAAGGGGAATAACTAAACAAAATTTATTAAAAATGCTTGATTAGTCAACATTTCCGAGTCTTCATTACATCCTAGTATATATTTTTAAACTTGGGATCTAAAAGAACAATCCAATTGTTTTTATAGTTTATTACTTAATAATAAATTTAAAAGACACTCTTAATTTAATGCATGAAATGTCTTGTTAGTAACATACGAATGAGATTATTGTTCGAATGAACGTGAGAAATACTAGAATTCACTAGAGAACCGAAATTGACATATTATTTTCCAAAACGAGTGCAGGATTTTCAAACCCTTGATGCATATTTAAAGCATCAAACAAAACTCTAATTAATAGACAAATTCGAATACAACTAAGAAACTGCAAAAACGAAAAAAATACTCTTAAATTAATTTTAAAAAAAAAAAAGCTAAAATGGTCCTTGAAAGGATGAAATTTGACCCTGAGATTTCGACGATGGAAAAATTGTAGAAAACAGAAAAATGCTCCCGAATTGCATTGCTTCCGTAAATTTTACATCGAGTTGAAAGTCACGCACATTTTTATAGGTCCTTATTTATTATCTTTTTCAAATGGTTTATGATTTTCTCTTCTAATTGTTTTGCATCATAGTCAATTTTTGAGTTTTCAAGTTTAGTCTAAAACCTAGTTCAAACTTTCCCATGATTTCACTAATTTTGTGTATTGTTTAACTGCAAAAATTTAATGAGGTTTGCAACGTTGATACCAGTTCAAAAAATTACCCATTACTTCTACATTTGTTCTGCTCTATGATATCTTTTAACATTTTGTTCTTATTCATACAATAGTTACTTTTTGTAGCAGTGGTTCGAGTCATCTATGTGCTACGATGTGAAATAAGTGTCAGCCACGTAAAAGGCTATAAATAAAATAGATATTGATATAAGCTAGCCTAAAGAACCACCCCCAACGACAAATGAGACGGGTCACTACACGCTGATGCAAGGCCATCGACCCCCGGGAGTTACCTATGTTGCCACCCCAACACTTAGTCAAAAAATCTCAGGTAAACTGACAAAGCTCCATGGCAGTTATTATGGGCACAACCTCCAGGCAGGAAGTTAGAGACCCCCCACCCAGAACGTGGGAAAGTCAACGTAGGACACGTGGCACCATGATCGCCCGACACTCACCCGACTTCCAGCACCTACAAATACCCTCGAAGGCAACACAGGTATGAGAATTGACATTTTTTAGCCATCTAAATTCCATCTAAATTTTTCCTAACGCAAAAACTAATTCTCACGCTGAAGGTAAAACGGGGGACAAAGCCCTGCCCTTCATTTTTTAGGTCATACACGCCCGTCAAAACAGTAAGGACGGCAAAGGTTAGCAAGTGGACAAGGAGATATCTTTTTTTCACCATTTCATTGGAGCCGTCTGTGGGAATTTTCTTCCATTGAAAACCAATGCCATGTCAAGAAGACGACCAAAAAGTGATACGCGCTTAAGAACAGTAACGACGGAGACCAAATCAGAATCAGTCGCCAGGGGCCTCGACTCGTCACCGCCATCGCAGTATGTGACACAAAGCCAGTTTAGCAACCTGGGGACCCAGCTAGCGGCTAAGATGACCTTCTTGTAGAACCAAACGTAGAGAGTTTCCCTTTTCCCACATTCGGTAGAAGTCGCGCCGCCACCCCGGGAGGCGCACATAGAGTGTGGCGATACACATAGAGACACCGCCTGTCATCCAACCGGTAACAGCAGCTCTAGGGGTTACGGTCTTGTAGCCCATCCCACCTATGGCGGATCTGGAGTGAAGGATGGATGAGATAATGACACAGAAAATAGATGATGTAATATCAAAGAGAAAGGATAAGCGTAGGCAGATGGTCTTAGAAGATGACCCATTCGCTCCAGAAATCATGGCGGTCCCCTTGCTTAAGGGCTTCAAGCAACCTATGATAGAAGCTTACGATGGGGTCACAGATCCACTTGACCATCTCCAGACCTTTGTTGATTTAATGAGACTCTATGAAGCACCTAATGCAGTGATGTGTCGATCTTTCTCCCCGACCCTCAGGAGAGAAGCCAAAGACTGGGTGGCGACACTTGCCCCTCGATCTAAAACATTTGATGAACTTTCCAGAAGTTTTGTGGCATACTTCCTCAGTAGCAAAAGAAAGAGGAAGACGGCCATCGAGCTAATGTAGGTGGTCCACGAAAAGGATGAGTCTCTGCAAGAGTATTTAGCCAAATTCAGCTGAGCGACCCTTGCAATAGAGGATCTTCAAATGTCAACAGTGGTGACTAGGTTGATGAACGAAACTTGAAATTGGGCCTTCAAGATGTCACTTCCAAGAACCCTTCAGAGTCAATGCACGACCTGTTGAAAAAGAGAGACAAGTACGTTGATGCCGAGGAAGCGGAGAAGGTCACAAAACACCTCAAAGAGGGATGGGAAATGGAGAGTTACAAGCGAAAGGTAGGGGATGAGTTAAGATCTGGCAAGAAAAATAAGCCAAGAAGTGAGCAGACGGGTAGAGAAACCACCCAAGACCGACAAATCAGGCAAAAACGATAGGAGCCCATGACGTTCACCCCTTTAAATACCCCGTGCGCGAAGCTATTGATGGAGATATGAGATATGAAGGAGCTTGAATGGCCGATGCCCATGGCAACGCCACCCGACAAGAAAAACCAGGGCCAATATTATCATTTCCACAAGGATCACGGGCACGATACTGAAGAGTACCTGCAGCTAAAGGAGGAGATCGAGCGCTTCCTAAAGCAAGGGCTCTTGGGCAAATATGTGAAGGACAATCGGGGTAAACAAAAAGTGAAGGATTGTCCCCCGCCTAGGGCGGGAGTGATAAACATGATTGCAGGGAAAATAGCAGTAGGCAGAGATTCAACTTCGACGAGGAAAAGCTATGCGCGTTCTCTTGGGAACTGTTTCATCGAAAGGAAAGTGAGGTTTAGTCAAAACATCACTTTTGGGGAGGAGGATTTGGCAGGCGTAGCACACCCCCATGATGATGCTTTGGTGATAGTAGGCGACATAGCTGATTTCGACGTGAAGATGGTGCTGGTTGATGGAGGAAGTCCTACAAATGTACTTATATGGGATGCTTTTTTAGGCTTGATGATCTTTTCTAACAGGTTGAAAATAGTAACCACCCCCTTACAGGGCTTTAGAGGGGCCACAGTAATTTCGGAGAGGACCGTAGAACTCCCTGTCACGCTCAGCACATATCCAATTGCTGTGATAATTGTGGCAAGCTTCTTAGTTATCAAAATTTCCATGGCCTATAATGAGATCTACAATCGACCATTGCTGAACGTAGCTAGAGCCATCCCCTCAACCTATCATCGAGTCATGAAATTTTCGACCACCAGAGGGGTCGGGTGTGTGCGGGGGACCAACAAGCATCCAAAAAATGTTATGTCGACAGTATATCAGTCAAGGGAACACCATCGATCATGATGTTGGAGGCAGAACCTTCATAGGGGCGGATTGAACCACTTGACATGATTAAAAGGATCTCCGCATCAGATAGATGGGAGTTTAGCTTTGGGGCCAATTTGGAATCTGACGAAAAAGGAAATTGGTAAGGTGCCTGACACACAACCTAGATGTTTTCGCATGGAGCCCGAATGATATTATTGGGATCAATCCAGCCATTGCTCAACATCGCTTTGGCGTCCTCCTCAGAGCCAAACCAGTGAAGTAGAAGAAAATGAACCTCACCCCCAAAAGGCAGGAAGTAGCAAAAGCAGATGTGGAAAAGCTACTACAAGCTGGTTTCATTCGGGAAGTGCGGTATCTTGAGTGGCTAGCCAACATCGTGCTGGTAAAGAAGTCAAACGGGAAATGGTGCATGTGTGTAGATTACACCCGGCTAAATAAAGCATGCCCAAAAAACTCATACCCATTCCCCCGGATAGATCACCTAGTCGACGCCACATCGGGTCACGAATGGCTCAGTTTCCTGGATGCATTTTTTGGGTATCATCAAATTTCAATGGCCGAATTTGACCAGGAGAAGACGTCATTTATCACAGATTCTGGAACATATTGTTACATTGTGGAACATATTGTTACATAGCCATGCCGTTTGGCCTCAAAAACGCATGAGCAACCTACCAAAGGATGTGAATAGAATTTTTCAGAAATTGATTGGGAATGTCACAGAAGCTTACGTTGATGACATGGTGGTAAAAAAGTATCAAAGCCAATGACCACGCGGCCTGCCTAAAGAAAGTATTTGACGTAGCCCGACGGAATAACTTGAAGTCCAACCCGGAGAAATATGTTTTTGGCACTGTCTACGGAAAGTTCCTAAGCTTCATGATCACCCAAAGAGGTATAGAGGTGAACTCTAACAAAATATAGGTGATACTAGAGATAAAGAGCTCCACTAGTAAGAAGGAGGTCCAGCGGCTAACAGGGTTCGTGGCAGCCCTTAATCATTTTATGAGCTAGGCGATGGATAAATGCTATCGTTTCTTTAAGGCCATAAGGAGCTCCTCAAATTTCGAATGGACTCAAGAGTGCAAAGAATCCCTGAAATCCTTGAAGAGGTCACTACAATAGCCTCCAATTCTGACCAACCTATGGTCGGGGAACATACTGTGTCTCTACCTCACGGTATCACCACAGGTAATGAGCACCGTTCTTGTGAAAAAATTTCCAAAGGCACAAAAGCCGATCTACTACGTCAGTTAGGTCCTCAAAGGTGCAGAGATAAGATACAGCTGGCCGAATATCTAGTGCTCGCGTTGATTGTTGCAGTAAGGAAGCTAAGACCTTACTTTCAGTCCCATACGGTACAAGTAATGACTGACCAACCCATCAAGTAGATCCTGGATCGACTGGAAACATTTAGGAGGCTGCAGAAATGAGAAATTGAAATAAGTGAATTTGACATTGAATTTAGGCCCAGGACGGCCATAAAAGCACAAGCTTTGGCAGACTTCATTGCCGAGCTCACCATCCCAACGGAGCGTCTAGAAGGGCAACAGGCAGATTGGAAGGTTTTTGTAGACGGTTCCTCAAATGCAGAGGGATCAAGAGCAGGGATAATAATGATCATACCACACTCTGAAGAGTTGGAATACTCACTGTGCTTCGAGTTCCCCACTACCAATAACAACGTCGAGTATGAAGCAGTAATCACTAGCCTAGGTCTGGTAGCCAGGCTGGAGGTGTTGTCAGTAGAGGTATGTCGTGACTTGCAGCTAATAGTTGGGCAAGTGTTAGGGGAGTATGAAACGAAATATGGAAGGATGGCAGCATACATGATGAAAGTATGGGATCTGTAAAGATGGTTCACAAGCTTTAAAGTGACCAAGGCCCCAAGAAAAGATAATGAGTGAGCAAACGCACTGGCAAAGCTTGCATCTGGCACCCAAGGAATTTTCCACGGATAACGAATATGCAAGTCCTACAACAACCCAGCATTTAGCTTTGGGCAGAGGTGAAAAATATTGAACACAAGGAAAGTAGGATAGATCTACTGATTAGATATCTCACAGAAGATAAGGTGTCGAAAGACCCCTTTGAGGCGAGGAGGTTGAGAGCTCGAGTAGCTTCATTTACCATCATCGATGAGCAGCTCTACAAGAGGGGTCTTGCCATGCCATATCTAAAGTGCATACTCCCCACCGAAGCAAAAGATGTACTGTTTGAGGTACATACTGGGACCTGCGGTAACCACCAAAGGGCAACATCCCTTGCCTTCAAAAATTCTGTGACAAGGTTGCTATTGGCAAACTATAAACGAGGATGCCAAAGAGTTGGTACGGAAATATGACACATGCCAACATCATGGAAATTTGATCCATGTCTTAGCCGAACAGCAAGCAGCTATATTTTGGGTATGCCCATTTTTCAGTAGGGAGTGGACATTTTAGGACCTCTGCCCATGGCTAAGGAGTAGAGAAAGTTTTTGTTGGTTGCCATCGACTACTTCGCTAAATGGGTAGAAGCGGAGCCACTGGCGACCATCATGATAGCAAAGATACAGAGCTTTGTATGAAAAAATATAATATGTCGATTCAGGATACCCAAGGTATTGGTGACGGATAACGGCAGGCAATTTGATAATCATAGCTTCAAGACCTTTTGTGTAAATCATCACATCGATCATAGACTGACCTCGATCACCTACCCTCAATCGAATGGGCAAGTCGAAGTGACAAACCAAGTCATTCTTTGGGATTTGAAGGCCAGATTAGAAAAGGAGAAAGGGCTTTGGGTAGATGAGCTTCCCAATGTGCTATGGGCATATCAGACGACACCACAAGAACCGATCGGGGAGACACCATTCAGACTACCCTTTAGGATGGAAGTAGTAGTTCCAGTTGAGATCCTAAGTGACTGGTAGGATGAAAGTCAAGTAGCCCGATGACACAACAACTAGAGGGGAACTTGACCTGCTTAAGGAGGTAAGGGAGAAGGCAACAATAAGGATGATGGCCTATAAACGAAGAGCTACTGGGTACTTCAATCGGAGGATGAAACCAAGAATCTTTCAGCTAGGATACCTCATTTTAAGGGATGCAGCAACAGCAAGACACCCCTCGACAAAGTTCAAACCAAACTAGGAAGGCCCTATAAAGTGATCCACAGCCTAAGGAAGAGAGCTTATAACATGAAAGACATGAAAGGAAGACCACTGGGTAGGCAATGGAACACAGAGCATCTCAAAAAATATTACCAGTAGACTTCAGGGTAGATGCACATGCTATGTTTTTACAAATACAGTAGGATAGGTTATGTTGTTAATTCCCTCCATGTAATGGCTTTAGTTACAATTATCTATCTTGTCTAATGAAAGACCTTGGTAGGGACGGATGATGAGGTGCTAAGGAAGGGCCAGCCTAGCTGGGATGTCTCGGTGCGCCTACTATTTTTTATATGCTAACATGCATTTTTGTAACTCCTATGCTCATCCCGTAAGGACATGCGATCGACATAGCCCATGCGGCTAGGCGAAGAGTCTTGAAAAGCCAAAAAATTGGTTAAGGCCCTTAATCGCTAGATCCCTCTCCCGACGGTCAACATAGCCTACACGGCTAGGCGGAGAGCCTTGAAAAGCTAGAAATTGGTTAAGGCCCTTAACCGCTAGATCATTCTCGCAACGGTCGACATAGTCCACGCAACTAGGTAGAGAGTTTTGAAAACCTAGAAATTGGCCAAGACCCTTAACTGCTAGACCCCTCTCTTGATGATCGACATAGCCCACGCAGCTAGACGGAGATCCTTGAAAAACCAAAAAATTGGCTAAAGCCCTTAAGCATTAGACCCCTCTCCCGATGGTCAACTTAGCCCATGTGGCTTGGCAGAAAGCCTTAAACGATTAAAATATTGGCTAAGGCCATTGACCATTAGAATCAAGCCTAGCATGCGCGGGACGAATGACAATCACCTATGCTGTCAAACGACTAAGTGGGGAAAACAACACTAGAAAAAAAAAAGTTAAAAGAATGATAAGTTCAATATTAATAACCATTGATAACATAGCATTCATACAAGAAAACATGTGATGTGCTCTGCCCATACCCCGGACAAATAGGGAATGTTGCTACAAGTAGAAATAAAAGGCAACACAAAAAAGAACGGGACTAGCAAAAGGTACTACTACTAAGCCATGCTTCAACTCGAAGGGAAAGCACCGCCACTACCGTCCCACAACGAATGACCAAGTGACCTGGATGGCTGCGCCCTACTCTCCTTTCCCTTGCGCTGCACAAGGAACTTATCGAAACTTGAGGGGTCAATAGAAGGGTACTCGGTTGATATCCACTCCTTGGTTAGTTTGATGGACGCCACCATCGCCTTCTCCCATACGAATGCAAGGCCCTAGCATAATCAGACGATGACTTGTACTGCTCCACAGATGCCTCTAAGTCCCTAGATACTCAGCAAAGGCCTTATACCTCTCGACCGCCTCCTCCAGAGCACAAGCTAACACAGGCCGCAAATTGTCATTCTCTGTCTCCTGCTCGCGGGTTCGAGCCTCTGATGCCTTTAGAGATTTCTTCAAGGAAGATATCTTTTTCTTGTAATGATCAGCCTCTTTCTTCTTTTCTTCTGCAAGAGTCTTCAACTCTAGGGTCTGGCAATGACTCGATTCAGAAAACCCGGTCTGAAGGGCCACTACCTAGGGGATGAGGAGACAATGTAGAAGTTGAGTAGTAAAACCATGCTCAAAAGATAAGACTCGGCGTAAAAGAGATATGGAATTAGCAATATACCCTCTGGAGATAGACCTCACAACCCTCTCGATGTCGTCTGCGCTACGTCCTGTAATCGCCCTGGCCCGAGTGGGTGTCACCAAAGATTTAAGCACCCCCATCTTATGATAGCCTTTGGTGGGAAGAAACTCAAAATTCGAAAGTGAATCCTCGCGCTCGCACTACATACGGCTGGAAGCGCTTGGCCTAGAGTAGGGACAACCTCAATAGGCTCATCTGAAGGCTGTGGAGTCTCTTTGGCCACATGAGACCTTTTTCCTTGGACGACTATCTTCTTCCTTTTTAAAGGAATAGGGGATGGATCAACATCACTCCTATGCCCCTGTTTGGGTATAGAATTCATGGTCCCCTCCAAATCAAACTCCATCCCTACGCATGTAAAGTAAAGTCCATTAAGTTTGGGAAAAAAAAAACATGGGAGTGTCAAGCAAAAAAGAGGACCTTAAGAACTTACCATCATTGGGGGCAAGGT